TTCTACACTTATTTCCCATTCATTTGTCTCATTATAACAATCAGTTCATCCAATCGTCTCTTCAATATAATCACAGTTTTCAAACTTTTCACTTGTATTTTGACTTTCAATTACAGTTCGTTTTACAATTAGTAATACATTTATATTTTGTATCTTACGTTGAAGATAATGTCTCAAAAACCTCAAAGTCTTCAAAATAGATTAGAGATTAGAAAGAAGTTTCAGTTCGGGGCCGGCGTTACAAATATGAACTCCCGGGTCAGATCGGCTATGATTTGGCCCCTTATCTCACAATCTGATCCACAGTTACAGCAGATTCGCAAAGAGATAACCGAAGGCATTCGCTATATCTTTCAGACATCAAATGTCTATTCATTTGCCATCTCTGGACCCAATTGTTTGGCTTTTGAGACCGCCGTCTGTAATCTCATGGAAATTGACGACAAGATCTTAGTAATGGTTTGTGTTTTCAAACGGATTTACATATCAATTGAGTTACAAATAATGAATTGATTCACAGGAACACGGCTTAGATGGCGAACGTCTGTCAAAGACATCGAAGGCTTTGAACCGCAAACTAATTCGACTACAAGTTGTAAATCCGGGGGATTTAGTGGACAAGGAGTCCATACAACAGGCTTTGGAGACCCATAAGCCCAAAGTGCTGTTTATACGTCACGGAGACACCACTGCCGGCACTCTTCAGCCACTGCGAGGTATAGGCGCTATGTGTCATAAGCATAACTGTCTATTTCTGGTGGACGGGAGCGCTACGGTGTGTTGCGCGCCGTTAGCTATGGACAAGTTGGAGATCGATGTGTTGATTGCCGGCACTCAATACGCGTTGGGACTCTCGCCCGGACTCAGTCTCATGTCATTCAACGATCGCGCCGTTAAAGCCATTAGAGAGAGACAATTCAAAGTCAGTTATACAATGAGTTTTGACCTTTTGGTCCAGTCGTGGGGTCTGACAGAGGATCACAAGTATGACTTCCACTACACGCCTCCCATTTCATTACTTTATGCACTGCGAGAATCGTTGGCACAGATAGTGGACGAAGGGTTGGACAAAGTGGTGGAAAGGCATATGAAGTTCAGTTTAGTCGCTCAGAAAGAAATCAAGAAAATTGGTTTAAAATTCTTGGTCGAAGAGGAACAGAAACGGCTGACATCTGTTCTGGTAATACAAGTGCCGGAAAGCATGAAAAGGGACGCCATAATCGAGTATCTCTACAAATACTATGACGTGTCCATCAGTGCCGGCGTTGCGCCCATCGATAAGGTCTGGAGAATTGGGATTTTGGGCCAAAACGCCAACAGAACTCCAGTGAAACTATTGACTACAGTATTGAAAGAATCCATTAAATTGGCCCAAAAGAGCGCCGCAAAGAGCTCTCTAAGCAGTCCTTCAACTATTCAATAAGATCTCAATCTCTTTATTCAAACAAATTTAAACTTTGATTAAAATTCTTGAAAAATAAATGCATTTATATTATAACCATAAAAACAATTTGTATATAACCGGTAATTAACGATTGTTTCTGTAAATAAACTATTAATTGGCAAATAATTGACTTTTGAAGACTTATGTGATAACAGTTGGCGCATCCCTTCCCGTGTATTCTCTGAGTTTAGAGATTTGCAAAGCGATGTCAATAAGAGGTTTGAGGACTTCTTGAGCGTCAGCCCTCAACTTCAGTGACTTCTCGTTTTCATAGCAGTCCACGTATAGCCGAATGGTGGCGCCCTGACTGCCAGTCCCACTTAACCGGTATATAATCCTTGAGCCGTCGCTGAAAATGAGTCGAATGCCTTGATTTGTAGTCAAACTTCCATCGATGGGGTCTTTGTATGAGAAGTTGTCGGCCACTGAAACCGTATACTCTTTATCGCCAGATCTGAATGTTTTGCCGACAAAGTCTGGTCCCGACAACAGTTTCTCCAATTCGGTCATCAGTTCATTCGATGGCTTTGTCTCACAATTTTCGTAATCATATCTGAAATCAATAGTCAATGAAAACACTACTAATCAATTGAGTCTCAATTCAAGTACAAACCGAGTGAAGAAGTTTCGGCCAAATCTGTTCCAATGATTCACCAAAATCTCTTCGACACCCTTACGAGTGTTGGCCAACACAGAGAGCCAGGCGAGCACTGCCCACAAGCCGTCCTTCTCTCTGATGTGATCAGAACCCGTGCCAAAGCTCTCTTCGCCGCAAAGGGACAGTCTTTGGGCGTCCATTAGATTCCCGAAGAACTTCCAACCGGTCGGCGTCTCAAAGATCTCTTTATTAGTTTTAAGCGCTACTCGATCCACAGCACCGGCTGTTGGCATACTTCTGGCAAAGCCTTTGATGCCTCCCTTTTGGAAGTAAGGAATGCAATCCAAATGATCGGCCAAAACAGCCAATGAATCCGAAGGGGTGACGAAGAATGCGTTTTTGCCTAAAATCATATTCCGGTCGCCGTCGCCATCAAAAGCGGCTCCAAAACCATACTCTCCTGACTCTAATCTCTGGACTAAATCGGCGGCATATGTAAGGTTAGGGTCGGGATGGTGTCCACCGAAGTCTTCCAATGGCGAGCATCTTATGGCAGATTCAGAAGGAGCGCCCAATTCACTGATTAGTATGCGCTTAACGTAAGGACCCATCACTCCATTCATGGCATCGATTAATATCTTCAAAGAACGAGAAGACAAATACGATTTGATTGCATTGAAATCGAAAATCTCTTTCATTAGTTGCAGATAATCTTCGACCGAATCAATCACTTCTACTGTGAACTTATTGTCTGAGACATCAAAGGTCTGGACACCAACTCTGGAGACATCGACTTTCAAGTTGTTTACGATCTTATATTGAGTGAGACTTTTGCTGAGTTCGTAGATGTGATTAGTGACCGACTCTGGAGCCGGCCCTCCATTGGAAGTATTGAATTTGATGCCAAAGTCGCCGTCAGGTCCGCCGGGATTATGACTGGCCGTCAAAATGATGCCACCGTTTGTCTGTCGTTTGCGAATGACTGCCGAAACGGCCGGAGTCGACAATATGCCCGATTGGCCCACAATTACACGCCTTACCTACCAGTGCAACACATTTGAAGACTTGTATAAGTTTTCATCAAATTATAAGATAGAAAATAATTTATGAAAAATGTATTCAATAAACAAAACTCGAGATAAAAAACGACACCAAAGTCAAGGTCTTTGAGACATAAAGCGTGCAAATGAGGCGCAAAGAGCAGGTCCTGCGGTGACAGTCAAGCGATACCGTACCTGATTGGCGGCACACATGGCCACAATAGTCTGGACGACGTGTGTGTTGTGATATCTGCCGTCACCGCCCACCACAAGAGTGTCCTTATCTTCGGCCGCATTCAGTATACATTGGATGAAGTTTTCTGAGTAATTGCTTCCCATGAAGGTGTGGACCGGCTTCCGGAGACCACTGGTTCCCGGCTTCTGGCCATCGAATGGTTTGGTGGCAACTGTGGTGATAGTCAGTGAAGTCATGGTTCGCCAGATAATAGTCGTAAAGAGGCGATGAGTGGCTAAGAGTTTGGCACCAATTGTGTGATTGTGTGACACAAACACTGTCTCAGAGACGACTGAATGACTGAATTCAATGACAAGTTATACACAAATGCCCTCTAATTCACTGCAAACTACTCGCAAACTCCGCCCACTTTCCTATCGTACACTCAAAACCACTTATAATTACAATTAGTTTGCATTCAATTCATTGGTTTTCTTTCTATTAGATATTTTGTCATTAATTTTCAGTTTATCTCTAAATTAGTGAAAATGAGTGCAAAATAGCGGCAATTAATTGATTCCCAAATAATCGATAAGTGGATGGAAAGGGTAGACATGTGTTGAGTACAAGTTATAAACACTTTCATCACGTGATTCCCATTTGAATCACATTTTGTCAAGTTTTGATGATATGTTTCATCGATTGTGTTGTGGTTTATGGCGAAGACATCTATTGACTGACCACAAGATCAGGTCATATGTGGTCCGGAAGAGTCACTTCTGTGCCATTAAACTGACAAACAAGCGATTGATTCGTGTGTCCGGCTCTGAGAGCTTCATATACTTGCAGTCATTGCTGACCAATGATTTAAGACATCTTTTAGATGGCGAGGAAGTGGTGCCAAGAAGTTGTGTCTATTCATTCATGTTGTCCTCTTTGGGGCGCGTTTTGGCCGACATTTTCGTATATAAGGCGAAGATATTGAGCGCTGGAGAACTGATTCTTGAGGTAATTGTCACCTCTTGTGGTGATCTATTGATTCACTTGACTTAATGGTGATGTCTTGTGATGATTAGGTGGACTCGAGTCTCGCCAACGCCTTAAGGCGTCTTCTCATATGTTATAACATAAACCGAAACATTAGTGTCGAAGCCGTCGAAGACATTGATTTGTGGGCTTTAATACCGAAGACATTCGACCCGCGATTCAACGAAAACAATGATTTTGTTTTACAAGAAGTGGTTAGCGATGACTTCCAATTAGTAGCTGATCCACGAATACCACAAATGGGTTACCGACTGCTCACTCGAATCGGTGGCAAACGGTTTGAGGATATTCTCGGATTTATTGACGACAAACGTATAGATGAAGGAACGGTAGCTGATTATCACACCTATAGATATAAATTAGGTGTGAGTGAGGGATCCGAAGACCTGTTGTCGGGTTTCTATTATCCCTTTGAAATGAATGGCGATTATTTGAATGCCATTTCTGTGGACAAAGGTCTGTACGTCTCTGAGGAGAAGACTATCAAAGTTTATATGAAAAAACCCATAATCAAGAGAGTGGTGCCCATCGAGTTCCTGTGCAATCAGTCACAACTGGCCCGACACTCACCACCGCCATCAACACAGATCAGGTCCAGTCAAATGAGAAACGCTGGAGACCTTAGAAATCGCAAAGGAGTGCATGGAATCGCTTGTCTAAGAATCTTAAGCAATGAGACGCCTGTCCAACACAAGGACTTAGTTCACATACAAAGTGGTCTCCCATTGAGGACATGGATCCCCGAATGGTGGCCACAGAGAATAGATCGCATATATTTACCAGAAGTGGATTACCCACTAAATCTGTTTAATATAATTCCGGTCGAGAATTGAGTTATTTATTAGTCATTTGTTTAATTTCTAAATAAAAGAGTATTTTAAAACTTTTTATACAATCAAGGTTTTAGACAATCGACTCGTTCTGCCGTAACATTTCCGAGCTTTGGGTTCACAACAGAGTAAGGAAAGCCTCCCTCTATGTTAATACAGGCGGCGCCTGAAATAAAACACACGATTATTACGACACAATTCTTACGGTATAATAAATTATAAGACCATATCTGCCGGCATTATCTGCCGCGACAATAGCAGCCATAGCTTTGGGATATTTCTTGACAATGCGTGCAATCGCTTCGTTGGCCGCTGTCTTTGGGCTCATCCCTTGCCTCATATTCTCGACGGCCTGATAGCTATGGATCAGTACATTTGCATTGAAATAGATAGCAAACGATACCGTTTTCACAGTAAATACATACCTCGGAAGAAATCTCATTATAATATCTCCGTCTCCAGTGGCAGCGGCGCCTCCAACGTCTTGGTCTACATAAGCACCCGAACCAGGGATAGGACTGTCACCCACTCGACTGACATACATAATATGTATATTATACAGTATTACAAATGATTACCGTAGGAATAAAACAATAAAAGTGGTGACAAACCCGGGAATTTTGTGTCGCAGGCCATTAGTAGACGTGCCGACCGCTAAACTCCCGTTCCTGTCGATGGCTACCATTCCAATGGTGTCATGATTTTCATAATTCACTAAATTTCTGTTAATATTCTCATTCTTTGCATCCCTTTTAACCGGTTTGTAAGGCCCGCAGTTCTCCCTGGGGTTGGGCTCAACATTTTGCCAATAGTTTGGCTGACATTTATTGGCCTTCCAGTCCTCCCATGTCTTCAGAGACCAATCACTGGATATGTTCTCCTCTTTGAAACCCATCTGAACAGCAAATTCTGTGGCAAAGTCTCCCACTAATAGACTGTGTTGTGTGTTGTCCAGCACTTTTCGGGCGACACTAATCGCGTCCTTTACTCGTCTCATACCAGCCACGGCTCCCACCTTATGGCTCGGCCTACGAATCAACGCAAACATTGAAAATGAGAAAACTTTTGCAAACTTTATGACTTGACGCCAACCCATCCATAATCATAGCGTCGAGAGTGGATTCGCCGTTTTCGTCGGGACTGCCGCCCCACCCGACGGTGTGGTCGCACTGTTCCCTCTCACATGTGGAACAGCCACTCACGATGGCGTCCACCGCCGACCCCCCGCTTGACAGTGTCGTCCACGCTATGAGACAAACGCAACGAAAACTCAGTACAAACTCTAAGTCTTATGTGTTATGCAATGCATTCACACATCGATTCAGTGAACGACTGTATGACTGATTGCTATACTGTTAGCGCCTATGAGACCAACCATTGAGCGTCGCATTGGAGAAGTTCCACGTATTGATCACTAGTGGAAGTATTCCTCGTGAGTCCACACACGCATCACCACCTGATCGCGACACCACTGCTCCCATAATCAATAAACACCAATATATCAACATTACTATTATTATGGCTATTGTATGACTGTTACTGTATTATTAATTGACAGCAATTTCTGGGAAACAGTGTGTTTTGTGGTGACAAATGCTGTCTAAACACAATAATTAGTTTATTGTGTCTTATCTGTCATATTGTGTTATCTTTATGTGAATCTTTCATTTGATAATTACGTAAACAAACGCCGTTTGCAGTGATTATCACTCAATGAGAGCTCTTGTGTCCAAAGGCGTCAAATGGATGCGTTGGTCGGCAATCACTGTATCGTTTGGTTACATATCTTTCAATTTCATCGCTGAACCCATACTTGTAATCAATACTCACTTATTCTTGTAGTCATTATGGGGTCACACAGGGGTCAGGGGTCAACATATCCATGTCATCTTAAGTGGCTGTCAAATGATCAGCTGTTTTCACAGTCCTTCCCTCCCTTTCCCGCTCACTGTTTAACCGTTTATTGCTAATTAATTGTCAATTAATTGGTCCCATATATTATACCGTATGCCCTATTAATGATAGATTTGAGCTGGGTTATTTATTCATTCAATTTTGTGTCAATATAATGATGGCATGAAAACCAGAATTGAGTGGTTGTGCAGAATATGTGATGAAATACCAGAATATAAGCACTTTATATATCTGCACTAAACCTCTCATGAATTGGTAGTTTGCTAACTAATGACATGTATGTGCAGTGCTCGGGGTCGTCGATGGAGCCAACCCTTAGTGATAAAGACATTATACTCACTGAACGCTATTCTTCAGTATTCATCAAAAGCTACAACCGGTAAAACAGTTTAGAGATCCAGTCCTAAATGAATAGCAATTAATTAAAGTAATGTCCAAAGAGGTGATGTAGTGGTCGCGAGATGTCCCGCAAACCCAAACACATTGATCTGCAAGAGAGTTGCGGCCATCGCTGGCGATTCAGTCAGACATGGATTCCTATCGCAACAAGTGATCCCTCGCGGACACGTGTGGCTGACCGGTGACAACACCAACTACTCGACCGACTCTCGAGATTGGGGTCCCATTCCTATCGGACTCATTGTGGGCAAAGCCGTGCTCAAGGTATGTCACAGTATTTCCTACAACCATATCATTACATTCATGTCTTATTATGACAGATATGGCCGTTCGAAGACTTCCAGATATTAGACAATAAACCCAAGAACTCTTCCAAAACATAACTCATTTACAGTTAAATTAAATGTTAGAGTCGTTTCTCATTTAAACAAATGAATAGTATTTTATGACAAAATTGTAAATAACATTAAAACTCATAAATTTCTTATTAAATGATTTTTATTAATTGTTTCGAAATGTTTTTATATTTATTAACAAAATCTTTATTGATTTCCGCGACCGAAACCACCGCCTCCTCGTCCGAAACCCCCTCTCTGTTCAACACAAACACAAAGTTTTATCAAATATTCAACAATCAGTGCATAACAGCAAATCACTTACGAAGGGCTCGCGTTGTCGGTCACCCGGAGGTCCGCCGTCCCCGTAGTCGCGTCTGTAGTTATCTCGTCCGCCATCTCTTTGGGGTCGAGCGCCGTCTTCGGCTATAAAACAAAACCCAAATACAGTTACAAAGCCGTGAAGACGCAGGCATCGGCTGTGAGAGGCATACCCTTCTGAGTCCTGGGTCGGGACGACTCGGTCTTGACCTGTCGTTTGAGAGTCGGCGGCACTATCTCTGGCGGCAGATGAAGGAAATCCCGCAGATATTGGATGCCTTCATTGGTCAGATACCAGTAGTAGTGGCGCCACGCGAACTGCTCCTTCACGTAACCCCTGCTCTTAAGCGACTGCAACGCCTTAATCACGTGCAGGTTCGGGATCTTCTCGAGCGCCGGGTGTTTGGGTGCGTGGAAGTCCTTCTCGGCCACCATCACGCCCTCCTTGAAGAGGTACTCGTAGATCGCAATCCTGTCCTTCTTGGGCATCAACATTGTCAGCAACAGTCGGTGTCTCTGTTTGGGCCATCAGTTCATAGGTTAGCCATCTTTTCCCACAACCAATCGGTGGACACATATATTAGGAGTTCTTTTCATACCTTGTGGTGAAGATGTGGTAATCAATTGAGTGGCAACTGATTCACTGAGACATCAATTGTCTGTTTTGTCTCCACTTTGGATGAAGTGTTGACTCAAAAGGAAGAGGAAATCCAACACAAGAGCCCTCATGTGTGTCACCCTCTCGTCCATCAATTACGTCCACTCCAGAAGATGTGTCACACTTTGAGCCCCTATTATCACATGAAATCGATATAAAAATATTGATTTTCAATGCATTTTCACGATTTAATTGACGATTTAATTGACTATAAAATTGAATTATTATTTATTTTGACTATTTTTACAGTATTTAAGATGTTTTATAAGTTTTAAAAATGTTATTTTGTTTTATTAGTAAAAATGTGTTACAGTATTGTAAATGAAGTTTTGGTGACAGGAATGCAATCCAATAGACATTAACCACACATTAGATTAGTTTATAATTAGAAATATTTGAATAAAAGTAGAGAAGCGATGAGTGGGAGGAAAGTGACCACAAATGGGTTGACGTGAATACGGCTGGAAGTGTTGCACCAATTCTTGTTGCAAAGACATCGATCCACTCGTATTCCCAATTGGTATTCAGTCTTGCAGTTGAATCCAATGACAGGAATATTGCCTGAAAAATGTTTTTTCGAAAATGATTTATATTTTTCACACGATTTAAAGAGTGAGAAAAAAGATTTTTAAACTCTTTATTGGGAGTTAAGTCATCGCATAAAAGGGTTTATACACTCTTTAAGAGTTTTTTCTCGAGTTATTATAAAAAATAACTTTTTAAAGCTCTCAAAGAATTTATAAAGCGCTCTCAAAATGACTTAAACAACAAGAAAAAAGTTTTCCCGAGATTTACAGACAATAAATCTTATATCAACAGACCCGGAGCACAATTACGCCTCCATTGCTGCACAATTCCTGTCAATACACATAAAGTTGTAATTGAATGAAAAACTTGTAATCATATTTAGTGGTGAACTCATGCGGTACCGTTTGGGTCGGTTATGACAAACTGTTCGCAACCGGACGGGCAGTCGGCCTGTTGTACGAGACTGGGGCTGAAGTTATTGTTTGTGCAAATGTCGGGGTTATTATAGCAGTTGAAGTCCGAGCACTGCATTATAGACCAGCTGCAGATGTAGCATCGGGTCGATCCCCGAGTGTCTGTCAAATGGGATTTCAATTGTAAAAATCTAATCACAAGAGAGCTCTTACTTTCAATCGATTACTGTTTTATTGNTTATAGCAGTTGAAGTCCGAGCACTGCATTATAGACCAGCTGCAGATGTAGCATCGGGTCGATCCCCGAGTGTCTGTCAAATGGGATTTCAATTGTAAAAATCTAATCACAAGAGAGCTCTTACTTTCAATCGATTACTGTTTTATTGGTTTTGAATCGATTCGATGGTAAGAATTAAATTCATTGCATGAAAAAGAAATGTTATTTATTTTTACATAAAAGTTATTTCAAATAAATGTCTAAAACAATAAATCAATTCAATTCTGGTCATACGTTTGTAAATATCAAACTGCATTTCATTCAATCAAATAAAGCTTTTTTATTTGTAAATTAAAGTCACTATACGTGACAATTGTCTAAAATAGCAGAATTCATTAGAAAAGTCACATTTTTTAGTGGAATTTATGTCCCCAACTTTCATATGATTTTAATTGCAAACGTTTATAGTTTATTATATTTTTAAAATAATTATTTATTGTAATTAATATTACTGATATCAAAAGTTAATTAATTTAATAAGTCATTAAAATAAATTTTTAATATAAATAAAATATTAATATTTATTATCATAAGTTAATTAATTTTAAGAATTATTAATCTAAATTTAATAAAAAATAAATTGATTTCATAATTTAAAAACTGAATATTTTAATAATTCAATTTAATTTTTAATAAGTATAATATAATTTAGAAAATATAATTTATATTTAAAATATAATAATTCACTACAGAAGTAACACAAACAATATTAAAGAATATATTTCTAACTTGAGTTATAAATTATATTAAAATATTAATTCTAATATAACTCAAGAATAATTACTAAATTCAATCAACTTTAAGATATACAAGAAATGTTACTCACGAGTGGATACAGCACCAGGTTTAATTGGTGGTGGCATTGGTTGCTGCATGGCTCCCATTTGTTGCATGGGCACATTTGCGGGAATGGGTGGGTAGACCTGATGCGAGTAGATGCCTACAAAGTTGGTTATCAATATAATAACTGCTATTCCAAAGGGATTAATCATCTTAAGTAATAGATTCTTGCTAAACTAGTATAATAAACTAAATCATAAAACAATTTTTCAAAACAATAAAAGTGAAAACTTTTAGTTCTTTTCGTTTCAATCGCTGATTCAAAAAACATAGTTTAGAGAAATGGGTCCAAAGCGTAGCACAAAATTTTCGCTATAATTCATTTTGTTATGACTTTGCAAAAAATTATAATTATATATGCTTTATGTGATAATACCTACCATTTCCGCAAATAGTCTTTCAAATATTTATTAATGCTTTTAAATAATAGCCAATATTTATTCTCAAATTATGATTATGTTTTTCGGGACCATTAATCATGTTTATTAGACATAAAAACAGTAGTGATAGACAATTGTGTTTAATTTAATTTTCCGTCAACAACCCTTTCAAATACTATACTATGTATTAAATAATGAAATCTAATTTAAGAGAGAAATTCTTGGAAACAATTACTAAACACTGAAAACAAAAGCATTCAAAAAGAATTAAAGGATTGTCGACGAGTCATAAAAATAATGTTTATATCTTTTTTATTTTTATAGTCATTGCATTCAAATTGAGATAATTTCTGAATGAATCAAACAGTTAATTAGGAAACGAAAGATAATCACATTTAAGCCATTCATACGAATTCTACTTATATTTGATGCTAAAGTATTCCTATGAGTATAGTATACATAATGTTTTGTTTTCAATTTATCCCAATTCTTGTAATGATTTCTGAACCACAACTACTTATCATTATTATAGTGATATCATAGGACTTTTTATTCTCTGCCCATAAGTTTCAGCCATTAACTCAACGGGTATTTAAATAATTTACATTTATTTCCAAAATCTTTATTTCTTCAAAGTTATTGTTTTTCTAATTTATTAGTGATTTTCAATTCAATTATAACCAGATCTGCCTCCAAAGCTTTATATTCTAGTTATACGAGAAAATATGAAAAAATAAAACTCTCATCGTTTGTATGATAACCGGGTTATGGCACATGACGTACAGGCGCTTGACGTAGCCTCCAAGTGCACCTAACTTTGGGATCCATTCGCGAAAATCGATTGCAATCGAGATATTTGTTGTGATAAAAGAAGTATATATTTGAAGTTTACGTTTTTGAGTGAATTTTGAGAAATTTTTAATATAAATGTTGATTCATAAGCTCGGAAGTGGGACCGGTATTGGCACTGATCAGTGTTTGTAGTGTATGTGATGTGCAGTTACGCCACTGACTATCAGTACGACTGCTCCGATTCGAGTGAACCAAATGCTAAATAGTAAGCGAACCCAGAGATGAAAGAAGTTTTTGCTATCAATTGAAATGCAGTCAAAGAGAGATCGAAAACATCTCTTCATGAACAGTTGTGATGAATATTTTCACTTTCGTATGACTTATGACTTTAATTATGTTTTGCAAGAATATAAGAGAAAGTTTTCTTCTTTTGATTATATGTTAGAAAATTAGTCTATTTTACGCAGACTTCTGGAAAAGTATATAATTTTCTTCTCCAAACGTAACGCTTATTATTACTCCAAACGATTGCCTCTCAATCCAAGTGATGACTGCAGTGAAGGGTCTCTCCTCTCAAACGTAAGTTTCCGTTAAGTTTTAATATTGTATTTGTTTT